CTGCCTGCCAGCCTGATTGCCCCCAACTGCCCCCCCACCCGCCAGCCTGGTCGCCCCACATAGCCTGTTGCTCAGTCGTTTGGTTGCCCCTCACTAACCCCTGCCGGCTGGGTCGCACCATGCAGCCTGCTGCTTGGTCGTTTGGTTGCCCCTCACTAACCCCCCTGCTGGTCTGGTCGCCCCACGCAGCCTGTTCGGTCGTCCGTTCAGTTGTGATGGTCACTTAGGCTTTTATATAGATAGAAAAGCCTAATATGCTAAGTGTCAGGTCATCCAGTCGGCTGTTCAACCAATGAAAGCATAATATGCTAATGATATGCTAAGGCCTTGCAACTGCTCGCTATGACGTGCACTGACCACCAGGGAGCACAGTCGATTGGTTAACTAGTCGCTATGACATGCACTGACCACCAGGGGGCAGACGCTCCGACCAGTAGGTTAGCTTGCTGTTGGGGTCCACCTGATCAGGACTGAGCAATACGGGCCGGACATGCTCTGGACCCCTCCTGCAATCCCTCCCTGGCTGGCCAATCTCCTGCATCGTGCATCGGTGGGGTCCCTTGGCCTGGCCTGTGCCCTCTCGCAATCCCAGACCCCTTGGGGGATGTCACAAAGCCAGTTTCAGCCAGATGATGGAACGACCAGTCACTATGACACACACTGACCACCGGGGGCAGATACTCAATGCAGGAGCTGCCCCCTGGTGGTCAGTGTGCTCCTACAGGGGGAGCACCGCTTAGCCAGAAGCCAGGCTGATGGCTGGCGAGTGCAGCAGCAGTGGCGGGAGCCTCTCCTGCCTCCGTGGCAGGGCTAAGGATGTCCAACTGCCATCAGTCGGATATCCCCTGAGGGCTCCCGGACAGCGAGAGGGCACAGGCCGAGCTGAGTGACCCCCCCCCCACACACCCCCCCAGTGCACGAATTTCATGCACTGGGCCTCTAGTAGTATGATAAATGCTTTGTGATTGAAAGATAAGACCTCCATCCCAGTATCAGCACGATGAGATAGATGAAGAGGAGATAAATGGGTGAAGAGGAGGCAGAAGTTGTGGTATTTGAGCTGAGTCTTACAGGATGAGTAGAAAGCAAAGGAGAGTGAAAGACTTGGGGTTGTGGGAGGGAACAGCATGTGTCTTCATGACTTGGAAGCATGATTAAGTGTGATAAAGCTCAGTGGTACAGGGGAACCATATTGATAGGTCCTTTTCCTAAGTTTTAGGATATTTTTTGTTTGTTTTTTTTCTTAATCATCTTGATGTTTTTCTACTGATTTTTAGAGAGAGTGGAAAGGAGGGGGAGAGACAGAGAAACACTGATGTGAAACACATCGATTGGTTGCCTCCTGCACATGCCCCCACCAGGGCCGGGGATCGAACCTATAATTGAGGTTCGTGCCATTGACTGGAATTGAACCTGGAACCCTTCAAGTCCGAGGGCCGATGCTCTATCGACTGAGCCAAACAGGCCAGGCTAAGATGTTCTTTACTGTATTAAATAGCACATTTTTGCCTCAGGTGTCTAGGTGATGAACTTGGGTAGGTGGATGTCTTGTCTTCCCTATTAGAGGGCAAGGCCTGGGACTTGAGGACTCCGGTCTCTGACCCTTTGAAGTCTCCTGGTGACCTATGCAGAGGGGGATGCTGACATGCAGCTTGGTCACCTTGATTTCTTTTTTGCCCTGCAGGCTGGTACAAGCAGAATACTGGCACGACCCCATAAAGGAGGACATGTACCGCAACCACAGCATCTTCTTGGCAGATATTAATCAGGAGAGAGTAAGCACCTAAGCCAGGCTGCTGTTATGTATTCATTTTTCTATTTGGGACATTTATAAAAAGATCAGCAGTGACTGTTTACCCAAAGTATCCCAGACAACCCAGGAAACAGAAGTTCTGTTTTTAGGAAGGGAGCCAGTGATTCTGAGATTCAGTTCCTTTTAGGGAGGCTGAAATCCATTTGGCTCTCTTCCCTTATGTCCCTTCCCTATTCTAGTGTTGCAGCATGGTCAGCTCAGTGGGTTGCTGGTTGGCTTACATGGAACTTCACAGCTGCTGGTTTACTGAGGGAAGTCTTCCTGGTGGGTCCCTTTTGGGTCAAATTTTCACAGAAAAGAGATTTACTTAGAAGAGATACTGCAAAGGGGACTCTGTGTCCCAAATATAAGCATGGTTTGGGAGATTCTGGTAAACTAGATGGCTTATTTTATATTGTGTTTATCTAGAGGTTTTTAAAAAATTTCATATTATTTTAAATATGTTCTTTATTGATTTGAGAGAGAGAGGAAGGAAAAGAGAGAGAGAAAAAAAACATTGATTGGTTGCCTCCTGTACCCACCCCGACCCTGGGGACCAAGTCCCCACAACTTAGGCTTGTGCCCTGACTGGGAATCAAACCAGTGACGTTTCAGTGCATAGGATGATGCTCAACCAACTGAGCCAGACCAGCCAAGGCTGGAGTTTTTTTAAAACAATTTTTTTTGAAAGAGGGAAAAACAGTCGTATAGCAGAACCACTCAGAACTTGCAGCTTCTTATTTTGCCTTGGCTTTCTCTGGCTAGATGTCTTTAACCTATATGCCGGATACCTGTGGAGTGCTGTGACAGATTAATGATGGCACCCTGGTTGCTGGGGGCATGCCAATCAGATAGGATGTTAAGAAAAAGGCTGGACAAGGTATATTCTGGGCAGGAAACTGAAAAAGCAGCCTGAAAGGCTTTAATCCCCCGGCTGGAACCTGATGATGACTCTGAGATATGCTGGCCTTTCCCCCAGGGTGTCAATGAGTCCTACAAGAAAAACCTTATGGCCCTGAAGAAGTTTGTGATGGTGAAATTCCTCAATGATTCCATTGTGGACCCTGTGGATTCTGAGGTGAGACTGCTTGGGCAGGCCACAAGACAGGAGACCATAGTAGTAAATGACTTTTGGGGAAAAACCTTAGTCCGTCCACCAACCTTTGTGTAGGGCAGGGGTTCTTCACCTGAGGTCTATAAATGCGACACCACCCAGAGTATGCAAAATGGTAACGTTGAATTCTCTGAGGGACTATAATTTTGATTAGATTTTCAAAGAGACCTGTGACCCTAGTTCAGAATCACCAGCCCAAAGTCTGTAAGTCCCTAAGATTGACATTGAAGGTCTGCCTTGACCTGGCTTCAGCCTGTTTCTCCAACCTAATCTCCCTACACTATCCACTTTAGATTCTCTGATCACATTGTACTACTTGAAATGCCCCAAACTTGGCCTATGCTTTTTCTCTTGCATGCCTTTATTCAAGCTTTTCAGTCTCTTAGAATGCCCTTCCCCTGGGCTTCTCCACCTGACAAGCTCCTATTTACCTTTCAAGGGCAATTTCAGATCACTTTATCCATTTGGGATGCTATCCTGTTTCAAGTAGAATCAGCCTGTGTTACAGCACTCATCACATCAGACCACCAGGAACTAGCAAACCATGGCCTGCAGGCCAAATCCAGCCTGCCACTTGCTTTCGTATGGCCCATGAACTAAGAATAGTTTCTACATTTTTAAGTGGTTGAAAAAGTAAAAAATATTTGAAGTGAAAATTATATCAAATTCAGATTTCAGTGTCCATAATTAAAATTCCATTGGAACACAGCCATACTCGAGTTTTTAAAAATATTGTTTGTGGCTGCTTTTGCATTACAATGGCAGCATTGAATCGTTCCAACCATGTGGCTCTTAAAGCCAAAAATATTTTGTATGTGACCTTTATAGAAAAGTATGCTAAACAATTAGTTGTTTCTGTGCCTCATTATACTAGAGATTTTTGAAAAACAGTGACTGTATGTATTCATCTTTGAGTGTCTAGTTCAGCACAAGGATTTTCAGAGGGTAGTTGCTCAATAATTATCAGAAGCAGAAATTTTGGGAAATTGGAAAGCTCTTTGGAAAAGATTAACTCATCTCTCAAGATCTACCCTTAAAAAAGAGATGGCTCAAGACATATTCTATTTTTCCATCTTACTACACCTTCATGACATCGTTTGTTGGTTAGGCTTAGCTACCAGCCAGTTTTAAGTTAGTTTGGCAGTATATATGCCATGTGTGCGATCTGCGTATTTCTTCCTCCTCTCCTGCAGTGGTTTGGATTTTACAGAAGTGGACAAGACAAGGAAACCATTCCCTTACAGAAGACCACTCTGTACACACAGGTAACTGGGTGGGGAGAGGTGCTGTCCTTTTCAGCTCCCGGCTCCTAAAGCTGCCGGGTTCTTGGGTGATAGACCCTGTCCTGTACACCCCAAAGCAGTAAGTGGTCGTGAGGCGTCTGACCCGTCTCGGTGAGGCTGAGTAGGCTGCTGACTGTTGGGCTAGTCTATTAGGTGCTGGTCTATAGAGTCTACATCCTGAACGTCGAAGGACCTGTACCTCATGGTTTTCAAGCATGTCTAAGGGACACATCCTTTCTAGCTCCTCCTTTCTGGTAAAAAGGTTAGAATTGGCTTCTTTTGCTGAGATGTAGACTGGATCAAATCCAACAAGCCCCCTAGGCATAATGAAAACAGGAGACAAGTGTTACTTTAAAACATTAATAGTCATGGAAGTGTTTTTAAATTAGGCACTGACAGGGGGGCTCCTCCTGCAGGAGGTTATGGGACTAGAGTTGTGAATTCCTTTTTGCAGTAGATGGTTTCTCAAGCAGAGGTTGCAGCATTTCACCACTTCCAGCTCCACACTAAAGACAAGATTTTTGAAAAACAGTGACTGTATGTTCAGCACAAGGTTTTTCAGAGGGTAGTTGCTCAGTAATTATCGGAAGCAGAAATACACTCCCCAAAATGCACAAGAGCTATGTCTGAACCAACTGTCTTCTACTCGAATTTCTTTACATTTCAGAAGCCTAGTCTCCTCTCTCGGCTTTTCTCTTACATTTGATGCCCCTCTTGGGTAAGAGGGAAGCTAGGGTCTGTTACGTTTTGGAAATTACAACTTAAGAGCCTCCTTATTGTGAAACTCAAACTGATGGTAACCACAGAAGCAACATTCTGACAGTCATAACTGCTCATCTTCGCATCATATTTGTTCTGTGGCACACGGGCAATGTTTTCAACTGCAAGATATGAAAGTGTCCCAGATTTGTTACCTAGGGGTTGGATGTTTTTTAAGTTATTGAGCTAATGTTCTCCTGTCTTTGGTTCAGTTCCGCTTAACTGATATTTTGAGGCAGTTTTGTCCTCCAAAAGGTTTGGAAAACTTTAGAAAGCAAAAATATAAAACTATAGAATAATCTCAACTGCATATAATTTTAATGCTTAGGAAAAAAAATAGGAGGTAATCCTTTTTGGCATTTTTGACAATACACCTAAATTGTAATACTTAGGCAAAAGATTGCATTTTGAGAATATATCTCAGCTAACATTTTATTTTTTATTTATTTCAGAGAAGAAGGGAGAGGGGTAGATAAAAACATCAATGATGAGAGAGAATAACTGCTCAGCTGCCTCCTGCACACCCCCTACTGGGGATCGAGCCTGCAACCCAGGCATGTGCCCTTGACTGGAATCGAACCCGGGACCCTTTAGTCCCCAGGCCAACACTTGATATCCACTGAGCCAAACCGGCCAGGGCTCAGCTAACCTTTTCTTTTATTCCAAAACTTTTCAATAAGCCTTTTGATTAATTATGGCATTTCTCTCTGCAGGACCGCTTGGGGCTAAGAGAAATGGACAATGCAGGACAACTAGTATTCCTGGCTGTAGAAGGGGACCATCTTCAACTGTCTGAAGAATGGTTTTATGCCAACATCATACCCTTCCTTGAGTGAAACCTTTGCAACTTGCTCCAGAGCTCAGGGAGCCCCCAGCACTTCCAAACTAGTGAAGACTGTTCCCTTCATGCCCAAGCCGGAGCACAGGTCCAGCTTGCAACTAACCCTTTTCTCTAGTCATCATCTAACATGACCTACTTAGGAAGATCTAAGATCCAAATCTTATCCTTTGCCTCATCCTATCAGCATATGGTGTTGAATGCAAGTTTAATTAGTTAATAACCACAGAGATTATTTTACAACCATTTGATGTAGTCAAGCTGTCTCAGGAAATAGTCTGCTGCAAGTCAGTGCCAGAACTGTGCCCAGGCCCAGAAGAGACTGAACTAAAACAGTGACATAGATTCTGAGGGCAAACATCTTTCTCACATAAATCTAGCCACATTTCAAGCCAGAAGGCCAATACCTAGGCCTGAGGTAGTCACAGACATGCTTTCTGTTTTGCTGGTGGGGATTTAACCAGTGCTTACAAGAGTATTGCTTGAATGTTGCTATATAATCTAAGGCTACCCTCCTCTCCTTGAGTATGTTTTCTTCTGTAGTGTCTAGCAATTAGACAAATTCTACTAACCCACCATCTAGCTTCAGTAGCACTCTTGGTCTCCTCCGATTGTGATACATTAGTTGCTGCAATAAAAGGAGGGAAGTAACACCCGATTGGATTGTTTAAGCGAGGAAGTGTGGGTATTGCTTAACTTAGAAAGGGAGGTGAAGAAAAATGTAGAAATGGAAATGAAAACTGAGGAGGTGGCTGGTTCTTTCCATCCTTAATATGTCATCACAATATGACTAGTGGTCTGGATTAAGTCACTCTATTACTGGTATTAACAGAGAATGGGAGGAAAACATGGAGATCAGGCTAATTTCCATTATAAAAAAACATATTTACTGGTACACTCCAAACTTGTTTAAGATGTGTTCGGTGAAAAAAGAAAAAAGATTATTTCCTCAAAAAGCTTGGGGAATATTGCACATCCCTTTTCTCCTTGGAGATCAACCCATATTAAGGACTCTGAGAATTCCTGTTATGTTACAGAAAACTAACCTTATTCTACCATTCCCCGCACTATTTGAGCAGTTTGAACATGTTAGCCCCAACTTCCCTGCCCGTGAAAACCTATCAAAACTGTTCTGGAAGACTTGTGCAGAATGTCAGTTTGGGGAAATGATTAGCTACACGAAAAAAGTATCTTGTTAGTGCTGTAAAGTTTACTCTTTGTGATTTTTCCTACACTTAAGCCTTATTTTCCAACTAAAAGATGAGGCTTAAGGGTAAGAAGCGGGGGGATGTGGAAAGAATTGTATGAGGTTGTCTAAAATAAAGAGTAGCTTCTTAAACTTCGTGCCATGTTTTCAATATTCTTACAACTCTGTACAATAAATATCACAGGTAAATACTAAGCAAGTTTGGTATTAATTTTATTCTATTTTCTGTATAACTTTAAGTAGATAAAGGTTTATTTCTACAGGCCTCAGGAAATGGGTAGAAGTCACAGGACAATATCTCTTCCCACCAAAAAAAAAGTTGCATATTTTGGTATGTGTTTGTCCTAGAGGGAAAAACTGAAATTTATATTAGCAATGCTGTGCAAGATTCTTACATAAAACCGAAAACCAGCCTACAGTGGAGATTGTAGTCCTTTGTTCAGGTGCCTGGACAGAAGCCAAAAGCTGTTGAGCATGACAGGGCAATGGAGACAGTGAAGATGGATGACAGGCACCTAGCATGGGAGGAAGGAATGCCAGATTCCTTAGAATGGTGCGTTTTTCCTTTTTTTCCCCTCTCTTTTTATGTCATCTCTAAGAAGGTGCTGGGCAGGGATCCCAGACAAAGAAAGGGTCCAAGACTCTAAATTGGCCTGGGTGCAGGCACTGCCACAGCAGCTGGTACAGGAGAACCTATTGTTTCAGGTTCAGGTGGAGCCAGGATGGAATGCAGAATAAAAGGAATACTTAGAGGAAACAATTTTGCTTGGAATGCTAGATGGCCAAGCTTCAGCCTTTGGTCCAATGCAACACTTGCCTCACTTGTCAACAGTGAAAAATTAGTCTGTTAGAAGACCCAGCTGGAATCACACCAGCTTCTGCTACCTCATGCTCATTGTTAGGAAAAGATTAATTTGTGTGAACTTTCTGAGCTGTTAATTCCTGGGGATTGCTTTGTTCTTCCCAAAAGACTATTGGTGGAATAATCCCCAAAGGCTGGAAGCTGAAACACACCAGTCCTGGTCTGCAGTTCCGTAAGAGCAGACTGGTGGTGTGGTTGAGCTGACAGGAAAAGGCTGCCCCTTCCTGCAGAAGATAACTGACCTGCTATCCCACCCCAAATCTCAGCCTGAGGTATATTTCAGTGAAGGCAGGTAGCTGTGCTTCTCAAAGCAGAGAAGCAGTTTTAAGAGCAGAAAGGTAGAGGGAATCTACAAAAGAACCGTCTTGATACAGATTTATCCCATGGTGTGAGGGAGAGGACAAAGAACCCAGTGGCACTTCGCTTATCCGGCAATTTCTGTCACTGTGGTGACCAACTTCTTCCCATTCCATAGGGTCTTGAACTGCTCGGGGATGGGGAACTCATTCTGCAAATAAAGAAACAGGTTTAAATATGAGCAAAAAAATAAGTTGGGATTCAGTCTTACACTTTTCTTCCTTTGCTTATTTCCACTAAGCTCTGAGAGCAGGCAAAATGTAGTGAGAGAAACCAAACCCTCCCTTAAAAGGCTATGTCACTGGCACTGCCACCCACATCTTTTACTAATGCCTCTCCTACCACTGACACAGTGGAGGAGCACTGCAGTGTAGGAATGAGAACAGAGGCTCCAAAGCCAGCAGGTATAGGTTTGAATCTGTTCCGTACAGTTCACTGACAGTGATGTTGAACAGACTGTTAAGCCTATGAAGCATAGATGAGAAGATGAAGCATAGATGAGAAGATGTATGGCTTCATGGCACCAACTCAACAGAGTGCTGTGCCACATTCTCTTTCCTTTTCACTACCTGAGCAGCTGCCCAACCTAAGGCAGGCAGTTACTGCCCTCCTCTGGAGCGCTACCTCGTGTGACTACGTCACACTTCTCTGCTTAAAGTGTGCGTCGCTGAGTTTGACCCACTCAGGGCAGAATGCCCCTCAATTCACTTTGTCTAATGTAAAGAAGTCTCCAGTCCCTTCTGATCTTAATACTAAAAAGATCAAGAAACTTACAAAGTCTCCGCCTTCTGTAGGAATGAGGACATTCATCTCAGAAGATTTGGCACTGACGATCTCACAATCCAAGGAATTCTTGCTCAGATAAACGTGGCAGCCATCTGTTTTGTTGATGGAAATGGTTGGCACTTTACCCATTACCTGCAGAGAACACCAAGAACACTAAGTCCCAGCAGTTGGGGAGAATAACAAACTTACAGGAAAAGCTTCCACTTTCACATGATTTAACAACTACATGAAACGCTTGCAGGTGCACAACAGATACTGGATACTCGGGGCAGGCTGGGATGGGTGCTGGAAAGAGCTCACTCTAAGAGCCAACTCCGCTTCTGCCACATCCAAAGCAGCTCAGCTTACAGACTTTGTAGAATCAGATTCCCACCACAGCAACATCTGTGGGTCGGCTCTGTGTCTCTTTCAATTAATTCCTCAGGGACCAAAGGAAAAAGCCAAAATATCAAGTTACCTGAACTTTGACATCTCTACTATTGATTATCTCCACAATGCCCACTACGTCATCAAACACCAGACCGAGTTTCTTACAGTTATCTAGAAGAAAGGGAGCAGGTCAACAGTATAACTTTAAAGGAAAGTAATATATTTAAGAATCTTAGGAACAGGGTAGGTATGGTTCCACCCTCTCAGACTCTAAAACAGAGCTTGCCTAGGACGACAAGGACTCACCTACTGTAATGGAGTTAATTTTGCCCTTGATGTGCAATGTCGTGTTGACACACTTGTATATGTAAGCCACCTGTTTCAGCTCTGTGTCATCAATCACCAGGTTAGAAACGTTCTCCTGATTTTCCTATTAAAGAGAGACCTCTTTCAGCAATCTCATCGCTAAGCACACACCATCCCAAAAACAGACTATCACAAACTTTCCTTCTTGCAATTTAAGTCAGAACCCTGCATTTATTTGGCTGTGCTCCATTAAAACCCCGTCCACTCCTTGTTACCCGAGTCCCGGAATTATTAACTCACCACTCTCCATTTCTTGCCCTCCAGTTCAAGTAGAGCTGGCTCCTTCTTTGTGGCTGGTTTAGGGGATGGGTTAACTCCTGGTTTAGGTGCAGAGAATGGTTTGGGGCCACTTCGTACTGGACCACTCTGGGCCTTCAGGGCAGGGTTCTTGTGAGTCTTCATGTCATCAGGGACATGTTTTAGGGCTGGAAGAACAAGAAGCTGTCTTGTTTCTGTCCTTCATATCAGGGCTTTGGGCTGAGGCAATAACTAACTCAGACTGATTCTTAACAAAAAATTAAAGCCAAAACTACAGCCTTTGAGATGTTCTCTCAAAAGCAATTTTAGAGAAGCACCTTGATAATTTCTCTTCTACCCTAAGGTTAACTTATATAGTTCCACTCAAAAAGATAAAACATAGCATATGCGTATGTATGGAGGGATTGAGCCCGCAACCTGGGTGTGTGCCCTGACTAGGAATCGAACCATGACCTCCTGGTTCATAGGTTGACACTCAACCACTGAGCCACGCTGGCTGGGCTATTTTAATTTTTTTTAATTTTTAGGGAAAAGATTCCATAATTACCCTCAACAGGCTAACTCACTCCTTACTCCTGAACATGGCCAATCTACATAACCAATACTGAATGGCCTTTTTAGCTCCACCACTCCTGGTGGTAGTAGTTTAAATACTAGATTTTTCGTAAACTCTGCTTGGTTCACTGCAGAAAAAGATTTAATGACTGCATAGTAGTAGTTTAAATACTAGATTTTTCGTAAACTCTGCTGGGTTTACTGCAGAGATTTAATGACTGCATGGTATTTCATCAAGAGGATAAACTACAATTAACAATTTCCCTTACTGTTGAATATTTAGGTTGTTACACCATTTAGCTACTATTAATAATACTATAAAACTGGTCTTTATTTTAGATATCTTTATAAGTAGATCCCCAAAATAGGGCTGTATAATTTAGACTTCTGCCTGTTATATAAAAGAGTATATACTTTCTCTACACCAACTTTAGGTAATTCTTATGCAAATTTTCCATGACTATTATATATCTGCTGAGGAAGTTAACCCCCAACACAATGTCATCCCAAGTAGACATGGAAAAAGCTCTGGGGGAAATTGCAGGCCCCATGCCTTGGCACAACAGGGGATTCAGTACATGCCACTTAATAATAAATCACTTTCCTCTAAAGTTGGCTTCCTCCAACTACAATCACCTAATTTCAATTTCCATTTAAGCCAACTCTGCTGTCCCTTTGGGCAACTAAATGTAATATGACACCCCAAATTAATTCTATCATACACAAACCAGAGTTCTGCTTTTCACACTGTCCAATCCCTAGTTGGTAAGGTTTGGCCCAAGCAACTTACTATACCAACTCTTCTTGCCGAAGTACTCACCATGTGTGATGGCCTCCCCCTGATTAATCTGCGCAAACAGTGCCGAACGTGAAGCAGAGTCGTCTGACCCTGAACTGGTAGGCATTGGTGGGGGAGGTGGGCCTGGTGGTGGGGGAGGAGGACCTGATACAGCAGAGGGTCCAGATGGCAATCCACACAGTTCTTTTGCCACAGGCCCCTGGAACAATAAACGCAAACAACAGTCATACTCTCTTCCCCTCTGTACCATTTCCAACTGGGTCCTACATGTGTGCAGGATACACAGGATACACCCCTGATACAGTGATTAATACTAGTCAAGCTATCCAGTAAAGCTTGATTATTCCTTCCCACCCTTTCTAAGATCC